TAGTTTTATTCTTATAAATACTATAAAGACTTATATATTATTTTATAAAGTAGTATAGTAATTAGAATTAAATTTAAGCTACTTATATCTTTAATATATTTTTAAATTTCTAAAAGTAACTTATAAAATAGAAAAAGCGCGCTTTTACTAAAAAAGATTCTAGTATATATATTATAACTATAAAGCTTTAGAATATATTACTTTATTAGTTATAAGCTAATAAGTATATATAATTATATTATAATTCTTTTATAAAGTATTTAGTATTAAAATAGCTACTTTATAAGTTTAAAAAATTTAAAAGCTTTAACTACTTTAAAAGTAGTAGTACTAAAACTTTAAATCTTAGCTTACTTAATACTATACTATACTTCTAAAAGTAAGTAAAACTTTTAGTTATATATTTTTTAGAGTACTAGTAATAGTTCTTACTTCTTTAGAATTAGTAGCTTTTTAAGCTATAAGTATTACTACTTAAGATTTAAATTTTTACTTAATAATACTAATAAATAGAGATACTACTTAATTAATAGAAGAATAAATACTTAATATTATATTTATTTTAACTAAGCTTTACTAATTATCTATACTGTAGCTCTTTTGTATATACTAGTACTTTGCGCGCGATAAGAGTTAAAATACAAGTTCCTCTACTTTCGCTAATCTACCACGGCAGCATCTTGCCTTCATACGTCATGAATTGACCTGAATGTTCCTCCGTCGCATTGTCGATAACTTTGATCATACCACGGACGCTCTCTTCTAGCGTTGTCGGCGGCTTCTCAATCTCGTAGTTGACGGCTTTGAGCGCCGACTGCCATTGATCCACGACGAACTGGCCCGCTCGCGTTTGAACCCATCCAGGATGCAAGGGAATGGCAATCAAACGCGTTTTCCCCTTGGTGCCGTTGAATTCCAGATGGATGGAGCGGGCTAGCCAATTCTGTGCCGCTCGGCTAGGACCATAGGCGCCGCCGCCAAACGGGTCCATGTCGGCAATGCTTCCGACCGAAGAGGTAACCCAGATGAGTTTTGGGGTGGATTTGGCTCGCAGCAAATATTGCTTTAGGCCCTGGAACATGAGGAGAGGCGCGATGGTGTTGGTCTCGAAAGCTGCGCGCAAGTCTTCGGCTGTGGTCTCGCTTGGTGGGACCATTGGCTGTGCGCCTCCAGCGTTGAGCACCAGAACGTCAATATGCTGCATTCCCAATTTGGCGAAGTTGATTTCCACGTCTCTCGGATCGATAGCCGTGGAGAAGTCATACTGTATGATCTCCAGCTTGCTGCCAGGCCCTGTCGAGATGCTCTTGATCTCGTCTTCCAAAACATGTTTGGCTTGCTCGCTACGGACTGTGGCGACCACCGTGTGTTGAGGACGCGCAAGAAGGGACTGCACTAAGCCAAGACCAAGGCCTCGGTTTGCTCCGGTGACAACGTAAACTGTGTTGTCCATGGCAGCCGACATTGGTGATATGGGCATGATGTAAAAGTTTTGGGCAAACGCAGACAGAGAAGGAATATTGGGAGCGGCTGTGCGGCAGGCCTTTAATACTGGCCAGGTGGGATGCTGTTGCCTGGAATGAACGACCGCCCCACGGCGCTTAGTCCTAAAGATAAGCGCAGCATGCAGTTTGCGACATCTTACCTGCCAAATTTGACGTGATTATCGTATCTCAAGATTGCTCACTCTGGGTTAGCTAAGCTAATCGACATTGCTCAGTGTAGGTAGTTCGGTACTTAGGCGACTGCTCCCTTGGCCAGGTTCCTGACTGAGGCAAATATGCTAGCATTTCGACAGCATACTTAGCTTGCAAGCGATGGAACTAGATGTGAGTCGTAGATTAGCATACCTAGATACACACTCTATGCAAGAGAGCAGCTACAGACCTTATTTGCAGCCTGATGATAGCAGCATAGTGAAATTTCTGTGGCACATTAAGGTAACATTAACACTCTAGTCATTGATACCGCCCTCGCGTAAGATATACGTGCAATCGTAGCTTACTGAGTAGGGCACCAAATACTACTGCTTTCTAGGTTTTCTTCTGGAAAAAGAGAGCTAGAAAATGTCATTTCAGAGCGTAAAGTCTCACTGGAATGAACCATAGCTTACAAAGCCTTAACAAGCAACGTATACTCGAAGTCTTGATACCGCGAAGATCGGGGACTAATGGGAGACAAGATCCTCGCGACGCCACCCACCGTGCCGTTGCCACGGCTCCGACACTAACGTCCTCTTCGCGGAAGGCTCATCCCATTCCGCCCGATCTCGCGCCTTCGCCCTCTTCCCCACTCACTCAAGTCTCCATCATCATCTTCGTCGTGTACACCTGTATCCCATGGAACCTCTCCATCCCAGCTACCCCTTACACTATCCTGTCCTTCATCATCCACAACAATCTCGACTCTACTCTCCAACACCATGTTCTCTTTACTCTCACTCTTTGTCATCCTCTTTAGCTCAGTCCCATGTTCCACCTCGTCTATCGCTCGTTTGACTGCACGCTCGTGGCGTTTGCGGCGGAGATACGTATGCTCGAGTACCAGTAGGAGCACGAGCAGGAAGACGACGATGGAGGAAGTAATGATGCCCGCTTTGACTGGGGTACTGAGCTGAGAGGATGGTCGAGGTGTTTCCGTTGAGGGAGCAGGCGGCATGGACGAAACATCTTGGTGCAAGGCTCGAGCGGGTGAGATGCCGTCATCTTGTGTGGCTGCAGCTGCTGAAGATCGTGATGTAATGGCCGAATACCGCGCCAGCGCAATGCCAGTCATTGTCGGTCGGGTTCCAGAAGAGCAGGTCTGATCAACGCCATCAGTCGCGTATACCCAGGTGACAACAGCACCCGTAACAACACGTACCGTGCAACCAATCTCTGCACTTCCAGGAAAAGCTCGATCGCTGACCAACGACGCATGGATAGTTCTCATCTTCGTGACCGCACTCACCAATAGGTACTTCGAATTGCAACGTGATTAAGAAGATCGAAGCCCGTAGAGATTGAACAAAGAGGTTGTCAATGAGAAGAGGGGAAAGAGGCGGGTTTGCGCTCAACCAAAACAAATACACCAGTCTCGTCGTGTCTGTCTGCAGTAGTGGGCCTGCAGTAGCACCTCAACGACGCAATGCCTCCAACATCGACATGTCGTTTTGGAAGCCGCAAACAGGGCAAGCACTTTCGATCCATCCCAGCAGTCGTAATAAGAGCACTAATCTAATGCAAGAAACTCATTCTTCTGCTTGCAAGACCGCATGTTAACAATTGCGACCACAGATGACGGCTCCCTTGCTGGTATTGGCCATTTCAAGTCATGATCATGAAGACAAGGTTACAAGATGCTGAAACACGCCCTTCCCGCCACGCGACGCACAACACACATGTCGTATAACATCAACTTCATAACAACAGTTTGCTACATCAGATGCAAGGCGAAAACATCATTAACCGTCTGCAGGGCCTCCAACCATCTGTCTCCACAATGAAACCTTATCGTTCATGCTCCTGTCATCTCAGCATCAACTCAACGCACCTCCGACCCTTCAACAACAAGCTCCTTCCTCACACTAAGATAGCTCCCAATCTGGCATCTCAGCCCATCGAAAGGTCTACCAAGAAGACACGTGAGGTAGCTGCTCGGTTCCTGCGGGTCATTCGCCGTGATCGCTGTTGCGCCGTTAAGCACGGTGGCGCGACCATCATCGCCTTCCCTATACGATTGCACGAAAGCATTAGCACAACTCACCAAGTGATGGACTCGCAGCCAAATAAGAGAGCAGCAGGGAGAAAACATACCCAACCCTATAAACCCACAACCAAAAACTCAACTCAGCCCTCCTCTCCCCAACCGCCTCATACCCCGTCATCCCAAACGACACATCACCCACATCCCCCTTCCCATCCACACAGCCCACGACATCCTCTATAATCGTCCCATTCTTCATCGTACCCTTGCAATTCCACTTTGATGCTGGTAGCGGAGCCTCCTCTGGCACCAGCACGTCGAAGTCAATCGTAGAATCGAACTTTGAAGTCTCGGGCCAAGGGCCGTTGCCGGGAATGCCGGTGCCGGTGCTCATCATGTGCATGTCGAGGCGGGGGATGTGCCATGTTTCTGCGGTGGCGAGGGAGGGTGAGCGGGGGTACATGGGGTAGTGGTGGGTAGTGGGAAGGGCGGAGGTAAGGGAGATGAGGAGGGGGAGGAATGTTGTGAAGGGGGTGGGGAATATCATGATGCGAGTTCTGGTCGTTGATAACGATGTCCGATATCCGTGCTTCTGTTTCGAGTGTGGGAGGTTGGTGCAGGCTGAATTGAGCGATGTCGAGAGCAATAGAACGTGAATGTCCAGCAGCATTTCAAGCCCACACCCACGGCTGATATATACATCTCCAACCTCCCACGCGCATTCCTTCGTTGGTCCCATGCCTTCATGTTTGCTCGCCACAATGCAACCTTACCCCGATAATGCTGCGCCATGACGTGACCCTGGTACGAAGTGCATCGAACCATAGCCCGATCCCAGCCTATAATACATGTAAGCAGCGCCAGCATACCAGGTATCGTACGAGAAAAGCATCAGCTTTTAAGCTCAAAGGCTCGTATAATGTATCAGTACCGAGTAGAGTCAGCTCAACAAACTGGTACACGCATTCTTGAACTGTTGGTGTCGCACACACGGACGCTTAGTCGCATCAGCAGTCGCACGAACACGGTGTATCCAAGGAAACGGTTGCATGCACATTTACGGATACGGGTACCTCAATTTATATCCTGCGCGCGCTATGAGATAGCGCTGATAAGAAGGATTGAGAACATTCGATGTACTGTAGATGTCGCTGACTGCTGTCGGTCGTACCTGCATTTCCGTTCTCGCCGTTACCAAACCCCTCCTCTGTGAAATATATCAAACCACAAACGCTACTAAGCTACCGTGGTATTTGTAGTCTTGTTATACCTCCCGCACATGTATGGTAATAGTATGCGCCACGCGATTCCAGTGCTCATGCAACTGCAACGCTTCTCCTCACGCGTAACGCGATCTCCGCCATACTCGACAAATTCCACTTGCACTCGTCTTTGACGTCCTGCGCTACTGGAATGTGTTCTCCAGAGTTGATGACATGCACCTTCATCTTCTCGTGGTACTTGAGACCAGGCAGAAGTTTGGGGGTGACGAGGAAGTATTGACTCGTGTTCTCTTGGCATGCAATGTCCACCATGCGCTCGTGTACCATGCGTTCATTGCGGGGGTCCATACCCTGGTTGATTTCGTCGACGACGCGGAATGGTGACTGGGCGAGATCCTGTAGCGCCATCAGGTAGAAAATTGTTGATACGGCGCGCTCGCCTCCGGACTGGCGGTGAGAGTTCAACACGCTGAGCGGCTCGTTCTCTCTGTTGGGATTGTTAGTCACGTTTGCCTAAGAGCACCATAATTTGAGCTTACCGAAAGCGGACTGAGATCTGGACGGACCAGTTGTCAAAGTCGTCTTCGTCTTTGTTCACCTGGACTTCACCCGCGCATCCAATTTGCTCGAAGTTGTGCGCGAAAGCCCCGCTGATCCGTTGGATGAGAACGTCAAGCTCGGGCTCCCACTTCTCGCGGATCTCTGTGATGTTGTCTTTGATCTCTTCGAGGCCAGCAGCGTACTGTTCCAAGTTCTCACGCGTTCTCTTGATGTCTTCCTCACGCTTCTGATAGGCCCTGATCGCCCCAGGATTACCTTCGGCCATCATCTCCAGCCGGGAGTTAACCGACTGAAGCTCTAGCTCCAAGGCTTCGAGAGTGGGAAGCTCTTTGTATTCCATCACGATCTGCCTTTCTTCTTCGCTGAGACTGTAGATATCTCTCTGCGTAGCCTCTTGCAGCTCTCTGTACTTGGCCCGAAGAACTCGCTCGTGATTCGTGCGCTCGTTGATCTGGTTTTCTTGTGCTTTCTTTCTGTCCAGGATCGCGCTATTCTCTTTTATGAGACCCCTGAGTTCCGACTTGACTTCGATGAGCCGGATCTCAGCCTCGACAAGTGACTCGTGGAATGCCCTCATTTGGGTTACAACTTTCTGTGCGATCGTCAGTAGCAATCCAATGACCAATCGTTTGTGACTCACAGCATATTCGAGTGTCAGGTTCGCTACCTGCAGTAGTGTAGCACGAGCGTCAGCTTTGATGGCTTTGATGCGGGCAGTTGTCTCCGCGTTTTCCTGCATCTTGCTGTGTAGGTCGGCTTGTTTCGATGCTTCACGTAGTTAGCAAACAACCCTCCTCGCATGGCTAATATACCCACCAATCTTGTCAGGTAGAGCTTCCCATTCGGCGAAAGCCTTCTTCAACCCGTCCTGCTCGGCCTGTACAGCATCCTGCCAGATTGTCAGTGTTTTGCGCCTTCGCACCCAGTGGCAGTAGCATGTACCTTCTGTTGTTTGAGGGCGTCAATCTCTTCCTCGAGTTTGCTGACTTCGTCCTTGAGGATCTTGTGGTTTTCGACTAGCTCTTCTTTCTCTCGTACTAGCCCCTTTTGTTCCTCAATGATGGCTCGCAACTCATCCGTATTGCCTGGCTGATCTACGAAAGATTGTGCTGGTCTTAGTGGGTTGACGGACGTAGAAGACTGGTTGTAGCGTGAGATCACGCGATACGTCTCCGAACCACTCACCCAGCTATTAACCGGGCTTTGTTCCTCCACAACCTTATGCAAAGCATCAGATAGTGGCGTTGCAGCATACGCGATCTGATGCAGTCTACAACCTTCGCAAAGCATGGCTAAGACCTCGTCGGGTCCTTTGACGTAGTCCAGAATGTACCCCTCAAACCCATATTGAGCCAGGCCTGCCCTAGCCATGGGTGGTTGATACGAAGAGAGCGGCTTTAGTGATGTTCGAAGAAAGACATCATTGAATCCCTGCCCGCCGTTGGCTGTTTTACTGAGCAGACGCTTTCCCAGCATCTTCGAGTCCTCGTTGTTGGTACAAGTGATGGCAATGATATCGCCTTTTCTCAACTGGCTCTCGAAAGCCTTAGCATACCGGGGCTCTGTGACGGAACATTCGAGTATCGGTGGCCCGAATACTTCACCTTTCAATTGCAGGGATGCTTTGTTGTTTTGAATCCAGTTCCATGCTTTAGCTGTATCCTCGGAGAGTTTGTACAAACGGCTCGCTTGCTTTCCGCTCTGTGTGTTCAGTCGTTCCCGGTCAGCCTTCAGCTGATTGCTTCGCGCCGAAATGGCGCCTGCGCGGGCAGCCATCTCTTTCATGCTACTTCTTTTGTCGGAAATGAGACCCGTATTAGTAGAGATTTGGTCGCGAAGGTCTGACTTGCGCTGCTCGTAAGATTCGGCGTCGAATTGCGCGGGTTGGTCCTGTCGCTGGGCTTCTAGCCTGGTGATATCGCGGTTGAGGCGAACCATGTCATCTGCGCGCTTTTTCTTCGAACTCAATTCGGCTTTGATTTGATTGTCAGTTTCCGCCGCTTTCGCTTTGCCGTTCTCAATCTTTGTCGCGAGCTTTTCAGCCTGTGTCTTGATCATGTCGACGCGGTTCTTGCGAAGGTTTACGATTTGCTCAATATCGTTCTGATATGTTTCGACTTCTGCTTGAGCCCTTCGCGCTGGTTCTATGTCGATGTTGATTTGGTCGAGCTCCAGTCTAGCGTCTCGAATTTCTGCCTTTACTGCAGTAATCTCAGTCTTGAGGATTTTCGTCTCAATAATAGGTCTGACTGAATTCAAACACTTCGACTTCCGCGCAAGACCTTCTCGTTGATGATAGCGGTCCACGTCATCTTTTGTTGTACTTTGTGCTTTCTCCAGCGCGACTAGATGGCTTTCTTCGTTCTTCTGCTTCGTCTGCAAAGCGCGTTCCTTTGTACGGAGTTCCTTGAGCTGGTCATGCCATGCTACCATCTGTGGAGGCGCTGCAGCGCGTTGGGTCTCTCGTAGTCGGTCGACGTCGCTCATCCTCGCGAACTCCACTACACGGTCTTGCGGTAAAAACTGGCAGAGGTTGTCGATCTGAATGGAATATTGCCTGGCCATTTGTTTGACAGCCTCCTTAGACACAAGTGGGCCGTCGAGAAAAAAGACGGACTTGTTGTCGCGCTTGCGTATGACACGCCTGACAATGCGATTGGGGCCATTGCCAGGACCCGTTGCGAGCTCGATCTCGATGGTGGCTTCGGCAGCACCGTGTTTGACGAATTGCCCCACCTCTTTGGCTCTTCCCAGGTGTTCGCTGCCCCATCCCAGACCTAGACAGATTGCGCAGACCAAGGTACTCTTTCCTGTGCCGTTGGGCCCGATGACCATATTTAGGCTCGGCCCTAAATGGAACTCCGCAGCCGTGTATGTAACGAAGTTTTCCAGCTTCACTCTGACGAGGGAGCCTGCTTTGAAGTCGCCTTCGGTCGAGCCGTTTGCGTCGCCGTTCGTTTGCGCGGGAGAGGAAGGCGCGTCTCCGCCATGGCGGGCGCGTTTGCCGTTGGTGGAAGGCGAGGACGAGGCATCGGAAGACTCGTCGAGGTCCTCGCTAATAGCGCGCGACGGGCGCTTTCGTCCTCGCTGAACTAGACCGGGCATGGTAGTGGTGTAGTATGTGGGTTGACGTAAGGTGGAGTGGGCTTTGTGATTGAGGGGACGAAAGGGCGCCCGGGCGGGCACTAGCAGCTAGCGCGTCGCCCAGGATCCCGCGGTCAGGTGATTTCGTGCGGACCCACTACCTAGGTAAATTGAATCATCGTTGAGTACAGGTTGTATTCCGCGTTCTCAACAATCACTACCTTCATACCCGTGTACTCATCTACTAATACACGACGTCTCGAATGCATGCAACGCAATTGCCCGCCCAATAAACTATGCTATCCGAACTAAACGCCAAATGTGACAATCATACTATGACGTGTGACCTGGCAAGCGACTACACCATGCACGCATCTCGTAACTCGCCTCAACTTCACAGCTCCAGGTGCTGCGATGAACACAGAAACAGATATACGAAGGAGAGAAGCGTCGACGCAACCAGTGCCTCGACACGCAGGGCGAAACAAATGTTCTCAGAATATCGTGCCAAAGTTCTCCTCAACCATGGGGAGCGGTTTCCTCGGGCTCGATGGTTTGCCGTTCTCGTCGGCTGTCTTCTTGTGGCGGAATGTGACTACAGTATGATTAGCGATGGACATTAAAACATTTAACAATCAAGACTTACATCCAACGAACAGACCCTTGCCCATCTGGACGTTGCGGTCCTGCATGGCCTCCAAAGCAGCCTGCTTCTCGTGTACCTCCTTGTATTTTGCCATATCGGCTTCGCTACCGAAATCGTCGAAGTATCCAGCATCTGTCTCACTGTCCAGTTCGGGTACGAAGGGTGCCTTCTGCTCTCTCAGCCTCGCCCAGTCAACCTCGGCGAAGTACTGATGGGCATGGATCTCGGAGATATTGCGGAAGCGGGTAGACTTGGAAGCCACGAGACGGATGATGAGGTCCCATGTGCGCTTCGAGAGGAAGTAGGATGGGTCTTCATAGACGGGCTTCCGGAGAACCTTCTTCCACTGCTTCAAGTTCTGCCAGGTCTCGTCTACTGTGGCACCGGCGAATGGAGGGTAGCCGGCCAGAGCCTCGAACAACATGCACCCCAAACTCCAGTAGTCTACTGTGTAATCGTACTCATCGCCCTTCAGCACTTCAGGTGCCATGTAATCGGGACTGCCAACGATACTCTTTGCGTAGTTGACGTCTCGCTCGCGAAGAGAGCGGTAGTTCTCTCGTCGCTGGGCTGCCGATCGCTCTTCGATAGGCCGGCCAAATGGCGAAATAACGTCGCTGACGGATTCGAGCTTGATGCGCATGGACTCAATCTTGGAGGGCGCAAGGATACCAGCTGCGAGACCAAAGTCGGTCAGCTTCACATGGCCGGTGCTGTCGATCAGGAAGTTTTCGGGCTTAAGATCGCGATGGATGTAGCCCAGCTGATGTAGCGAGTCGATACACGAGAACATTTCGGCAATGTAAAAGCGCGCATGCCGGTTGTGCAGAACACCGGTGTTGTTGAGAAGGGTTCGGAAGTCGCCTCCGGGGACGTATTCCTAGCAGATGTCAGTACACTGTTCAATGTTGGGTATTGATGCAGCTAACCATAGCAAGGTAGATGCTCTTGTCATCTTGAAAGGCGTAGAGCAGGCGGACCAGCCACTCGCTCTTAGCAGTGGTCAGGATATCGCGCTCCGTCAGGACGTGGCGAACCTCGTCCAGCTTGAACAGCAGCTTCTTGCTCATGACCTTCAGAGCGCACACCTCACGCGAGTCCTTCTTCTGGGCCAAGTAGACCTGCCCATAGCCACCCTGACCGACCTGTGTGAGGATCTGGAAGTCACCCTGCCTTAACCGGGTGCGTCGCTTGCGGAGGTTGGCACGCTCGCGGCCGAGGTACTGTGTGAGGGCATCGTTGTACTCTTCTTCGGGTGTGTCTGGAGGGGGAGGGTTTTGAGCCTTGAATTGGGTCAGGCGGCTCTGGCGGCTGTGTACGTAGGTGAGGAGGTCGTAGTAGTAGTCGAGGAAGTCTAGATAGTCATTAGCACTGGATGGCCGCGGTATAGGAGAGGCAGCCTACACAGCTGGGTCACGTTTGCCAGGCGCTTTACGGCTGGCTTTCTCGCCTTCTCGAGTTCTTCTGGGGAAAGACGCTGTGGACCGTTGATGTAGCGTGTCGATTGGCCGTCCTCGCGCGTCCTGTAGGGCTCCTGCCGCGACTGTGCTGCGTGTGTGAGGTAGCTCGACTCCTTCTGCAGGCCAGGGCGGCCACTCGGCGGCGTGTTCTCCTGGTTCGACTTGCGTGTGGGGCTGCCCGGGGCGAAACTGGGACTTTCCATGTTGGCGTAGTCAGCGCCATTGCTGCCAATCTGCAGTTTGTTGGGGGATGTGGGCGATCCGGGCTTCGTCTTGGAGGGCGAGCCCATAGTGGGCAGCAGCCGCATGGCATTCTCGAAGACGTGCGGCAGATCGAATGCGCCGGGCGGCTGGTGGTGTTTGCTTGGGCTGCCCTGGGGCGTCTGCTGCGGGCTCATAAAGGCCTCGCCCGTCGGGGTGCCTGGGCGGTCCATTGCGTTGTCGCGGATCTGGAGTGGAGGAGGAGGGGTGGGCATTTGGAAGCTGTCTCTGTTGCTGTCCTCCATGGCGCGATGGCAACTGGGCGACGGGGAAGGAGCGGTGGATGGCAGCAGCTAAGAGCCGTGAGGCGCAAGCAGGCACGAAGAAGCAAAGAGGCGGCAGTGGGGGCGCAAGCAATTGGCGATCGCAGTCATGCAGCGCAGTATCTCATACGATGTTGCGGTTTTACGGGTGCAGGGTGTATCGGGTCAGGTTTGTGTTGATGGCGGGGTGCATGTTTGGGGCTAGGTGGGCTCCGGGCAACGATGAATTCCAGGCATCCCGGGAAGTGGAGCCCAGATCGACGCAAGGGCTGCACATGCAAAAGTGACTATCCACAGAGATGCTGATGTTTATATGCCGCTGATCACCATGCTATGTACATATCCAGTCTGATGCCTCTTCACCCCAATTACGCACTTAGTGTGCAACACTCACCCAAACTCCCTACCCATCTGCAACGCCTCGACCGCCCTGCCAAGGCCATCGGTGTAAAACAATGATATCATAGCTTCGAAAATCGCATCCTGAGTCGAACCCCTCACGTCGCTCACGCCTGCTGAAAGTGGCCGTAGAGGTCAGTGACGTGCATGTTCTGGCGAGCGAGTAAATCAAGAAACGCTTGCCCCTGCATCATGCTCGGCATGAATCGTGTAGGTGGTGCTTCGATGAGCTGCTTACGACACATGGGGCAGGTAACTTTGTTCTTGTGTGTTCTGCACGTATCAAACTAGGTCATGTGAGCAAGCATCTGATATCTCCAAGCGACTGCCACTTACCCATTGACCTATGCAGAACTCTCCAAACGTGTGTCCACACGAGAGTTCAATGGCAATTTCTTCCTCTTCTGTAGGCGACACACGTGTAGCGGCATAGTCTTTCTGGCAAATGTCACAAGTCTTAGACGCTTTCTCTGGAAGCGTACTTGGTAGATGGCGCTGGAGACTATTTTTCAATTGCTCAATCTGGCGAGCGGTAGCAATGTTGGGATCGAATTGAGGCGGGTAGCGGCCCGCGATACGCGGCCGCACTTCTCTAGATCGATGCCTCATACGACTCAGCGGCGGCGCACGGGCAGCCGCTTCTTCTGCGTCAGACGACGTGCTGGAATGGGAGAGGTCAACCGAGTATCGTTCAAAGTTCCGGCGATTCGACGTGCGCGGGGATACGCTACGGTCTGAGCGGCGGCTTGGAACCTCGTGTGACGGCCACGGACGTTCAGGCAATCCAGAATACAGTGCCTCACCTGGGTGGATTGCTTGTTGAAGTGGCCGTCGCGGATGCTGAAAGCGGGCTTCCGGGGGTGCTACTGAATCCCGTGCTTCAGGGAAGCGTGTATTGTCAGTAGGCAGACTACCTGCCACCGCCCCGGCACTCGTTCTGTGATCGTGTCTTCGGTAATCATGGCCATGTCGGGAATTCGAAGGAGGCGCGGCATGTGGTGACCCTAGTAGCGGAAAGTTGTGACTCGGTGCTCCTAAATGATGGCGCAGCTGGTCACCCTGAGAAGTGACGCCGGGGTCGTAGAAAGCTTGGCCGGGATAAAGGTGCGGAGGCCCGTTCCAGGTTTGCGATGGTCTTTGAGGGTTTGTGAAGTGGTACGAGTGTGCATGAGGAGCATAGTAGTGGTGACGCATTCCAATAGGTGGCAAAGCTGGACATAATTGTGGGTGGCTGCTAGTAGACACATTCGGTGCATCCTGAGCCTGAGACATGGAAGGGCTGTTATTGGACATGTATGGATTTTGATACATCGTTGGAAGTTGTTGTTGGAACGGTGTATGCGCGGCCAGAAGCGGGGCAGTCAGCTCAGCATCTGAGTTTCGAGCGCCTATCCTATCGTGAACCCAGTGACCCGCGCCGTACTCAGACTCAGCCATACGATCAGTTCTGCAGATGTCTTGCACCCTTTCTCACGAGCTGTGTAGTTTCGTAAGCTGTGTCGATCGGTGGCGAGCAAAGGTCTGGAGGGACGCGGATGTTGACGATATCGTGTATCGATTGCGAACAACTGTCAGAATAACTCTGCCTTGATTGAGGCAGTCGTTGGGCAGAGGGGTTCGTCGTAGAAGGCTCGATCAGCGTCATGGGAGCCTTATCTGCGGCTAAGCAAGTACGTGCGGCCCAGCTGAAGCCGTGCTTCACGGACGGAGTAATGCAAAGGTGGAGTAGGCTTGGAGACACAATAGCAGGCTGCAAAAGGCAGCAGACAGCAGAGACAAACAGGAGTGTTTGTTGAGGCTGGAAACTGGGCCGTAGGTGAAGATGAGGGGTTATTAGCTCCATGTTACGTTGGCACGCTCGAAGGCGAGCGCCCAGCATGGATCGAAAGGATGGTGGAGACAGATCAGGTGCACTCCGACTTGACTCGCTACGTTAATCTAATATGGCCAGTCGTCGGAAGACGGAAAGCGCAGGGCACATGGTTCCAGGCGTCACGCAGCGACCTAGCTTCCAGACGTACTTGGTCGTTTGCCCTCATAGCTCTAGATCGTCAGTATCGAATGCAGGAGCCCTCATCATCACCCAATAATTCGGACCCTCAGCCGTACCCAGCGGCGCGATGCAGGCGGAAGTTTGGGTAGGGACAGGCTTTCGGTACGAGGTGTGTTTCACTCAACAGGGTGTGCCCGATAATGCCGAAGCTTTTGATCGGTGGCTATGCAGAGACTCCACTAGCCCGACCGGAGCGGCCAAAGCATATATATGCAGAAGGTGAGCCAGAGTCTCGAGCAGATGGCATAGACGCGGCCCTACAAGCGTCCTGCGCGAGGTGATGGGAAAAGTTGGAACAGTGGCTGGCCGGGGCTGTGGGACATGAGCGAGACGCCGCATCAGCGCAGACGAGGCGACGGAACGCTTGACGTTGCAATGCGGAAGTCATCACGGGCTAACCTTGGAATGCTGAGGCTTTGGCGCCGGCGTGCGGAAGGCGAGCGGCAGGAGAACATGGTGCTGAGCGGCGGTATTCTGAGCTGGCGGTACAGGTAAGCAGAAAATTCCTGCCGACCGCATTCTTTCATGCTCAGGTTTGCGTTCTTGGAGCCTTCATCCACTTTGGGCTTGGCACCCCGCCAGTCATGTGACGACGAGTTATGCCGCGGGAGAGACCGGAGGCAATTCCCGCGAGCATGAGGTCAGAGCTCGGAACGGCAGCATTTTGCGTCGCAGCAATTGTCCCAATTATCCATCTTCTGTCTTTTGACTTGCGACTTGCGCTCTAGTTCCGCTGCGCACACCATTAGCCAATTCGGCGTCTTCTCCACCCCCTCTCCCCATCCTGCCCCCCGCCAGCTGCTGCTGCTACCATGTTCCGAAGCGCAACGAAGCTCCGCGCCGCCGAGGCCGGAGCATTACGATCACTCGCACATGCAAAGGCCAGCCCCTCCTTCTGCTGTGCCCGTAGCACGCGTGCCCTCTCCACCACTCCCCGTACCCCGCTGAAGACGCAGAGCCTCTTCCAGCGCCGCCAGTTCAGCGTCACCAGCAGCATGGCCAACACGCGCACCGAAAGCGATGCCTTTGGCGAGATCCAGGTCCCGTCGGACAAGTACTGGGGCGCCCAGACGGAGCGCTCGCTCGAGAACTTCAAGATCAACCAGCCCCAAGACCGCATGCCGCCGCCCATTGTGCGCGCCTTCGGCATCCTCAAGGGCGCCGCTGCCACGGTCAACATGAAGTTTGGGCTGGACCCCAAGCTCGGCCAGGCGATCCAGCAGGCCGCTGAGGAGGTGGCCTCGCTGAAGCTGATCGACCACTTCCCCCTTGTCGTCTGGCAGACAGGTTCCGGCACCCAGTCCAACATGAACGCGAACGAAGTCATCTCCAACCGCGCCATTGAGATCCTCGGCGGCACCATGGGCAGCAAGAAGCCAGTCCACCCCAACGACCACGTCAACATGTCCGCCTCGTCCAACGACACCTTCCCCACCGTCATGCACATCGCCGCCGTTCTCGACTTCGAGGAGTCGCTCCTGCCTGCCCTCACCAGCTTGAGGGACGCGCTGAAGAAGAAGGCCGACCAGTGGGAGAGCTTGATCAAGATTGGCAGGACACATTTGCAGGATGCCACACCTCTGACCCTCGGCCAGGAGTTCTCTGGCTACGTACAGCAGCTCGACTTTGGCATTGAGCGGATAAAGACCTGTCTTCCGCGCCTCAAGATGCTGGCCCAGGGTGGAACCGCCGTCGGAACCGGTATCAACACTTTCAAGGGCTTCGCTGAGGACATTGCTTCGGAAGTCAGCAAGATGACCGGCAAGGACTTCGTCACCGCACCCAACAAGTTCGAGGCTCTCGCTGCCCACGATGCCATCGTCGAGGCCCACGGCCAGCTCAACACCCTCGCAACCTCGCTGTTCAAGATCGCCCAAGACATCCGTTTCCTCGGCTCCGGCCCCCGATGCGGTCTTGGTGAGCTGAAGCTACCGGAGAACGAGCCCGGTTCCTCCATCATGCCCGGAAAGGTGAACCCCACACAGTGCGAGTCCTTGACCATGGTCTGCGCGCAGGTCTTCGGTAACCAGGCCGCTACCACCTTCGCTGGATCTCAGGGTAACTTTGAGCTCAACGTCTTCAAGCCTGTCATGATCCGCAATCTGCTCCACAGCTCGCGTCTGCTCGCCGACGGCATGAGGAGTTTCGAGAAGAATCTCGTAGCTGGTCTTGAGGCTGATGAGAAGCGCATCAGCTCCATCATGAGCGAGAGGTGAGTTACTCTCCCTTAACCGTAGATTCATCACATAGCTAACTTGACACAGTCTCATGCTCGTTACCTGCCTCAACCCCGTCATCGGCTACGACGCCGCTAGCAAGACCGCCAAATACGCACATAAGAACAACCTCACGCTCAAGGAGGCTGCGCTCAAGCTCGAGGTCATCAGCGAGTCGGACTTTGACAAGTACGTCAGGCCCGAGCTTATGGTCAACCCCTCCGAGTACAAGCCCAAGAACTAGGCGCCGTGGTGGGAAGTAATTAGTAAAAATGTAAAATACAATACAATGCAGCTACATAAGCGTGGCGATGAGTCAGGTATCACTCATACTATCACGTCACCATCGTCCTTATGACACTGATATCGTCATCGTAATGCCAGTGTGGTGAAAAACTCTAGCTTCATGATGGGACATCACTTTGAGACGCTGATGAGCTTGGTCATGTCACTCTCATACGCATCGAGGTTTGAATCGGTTATAAGCATACCATGACATATCAGCTAAGCACCTTCTACAGTGCCCAACACATCACCCATTCCCCCTAGGGTTTCATGGATTCCTTTCACTCAGATTCTAGGATGCCAATTCAATTTGTGCATCTATATCCGTGGCATCACCCCCTGCCTATTGCAACTGCCGTCCCATGGACAATCGCACATCGTGATGACCCTAGGTTGACCATTCCATCTGCATTCCGGGTTCTGGCCTTCGCTGCATGTCGTCCACGGCAACTGAGGGGGCATGTTGATTTAGATGTTGGTTCAGATGCCGTTGTTGTGCTGGTCGCTGTACTTGTTGCTGGGCCTGTTGCTGCGCTTGTTGCTGAGCCTGTTGTTGCACTTGTTGCTGCCATTGCTGCTGCGTAGAATACTGACCCTGCTGTTGCGCCGGTCGATCAATCCGTTGTCGCTTCTCGGGCACTTGTCGAAAGAACGTGGGTTGCCCAGGTCCGGTGAGGTCAACAGTATCGGCGACTGGCTGGGTTCCTTGCCTACCTTCAGACACAGCGTCTTTTGCAAGTAGCAGAGCGTGCTGCATGTGCATGGCCTGTTGGAACGCTACCGGAGTGGGTGGTGTATTCGGTGGCCGGGTATCATGAGTCGGTCTGGGATGTGTCAGATTCGTCGCGGGTGGTGATGGATACGGTGACTGTGGTGCCGGTACTCGGGGAGGCTGTGCGCTCTCTGAGTCTTGAAGTAGGTGCTAGTCCAATTCATTAGTTTACGATTTAAAAGCAGACATCATGGAGATGACAACGTAGGTGCTTACGGGGAATACGTTGTCCTTAACAACCTTTTTGAGAGAGGTCTCTATGTTTTGTAAGTGCCCACCCCATCGCTCGTTCAGTACCCCAACATTATGGTTCACCTCGTCCCGGTGGTTTTGAATAGTCGTCTCGAGGGAAGCCGCGAGATGATTCCTAACAACAGCAAATTGCTCGTGGGTAACACAATTGGTGGTAATGTTTGTATGGACATCGCGCATCTTGTTGTAGTTCTCTTCCAATTCGCAGACCCTGTTGTTAAGTTTGAGAGATACAGCTGTATCGCGGTGCTTTTCCAATGCGACAAGTCGGTCTTTGCATTTTCCGAATGAGGCCAGTTCGTTCTTCAGTTGCAGATTGACTGTATCAACTTTATTCCGAAGGTTGTCGAGAGCGGAAGTAGCTGTTGTGGTAGTCGAAGGCGTCAAACTCGATGTTCGAATAGAGCCGAGAGCAACTTCCGAAACACCCAGGCGGACATTTAGAGAGTCGAGTCTGGTGACCATAGCCTGGGAAGCTTGCAGTGCCGCATCATGTGATTCTACAGCAGTCTCAAGCCCTTCGATGCGGTGGTTCAGGCCTTCCAGAAACTGTGGCTTTTCCATCGCATTTCCGAGCTCTTCGATACGCTGGGAGTTGCAGTCCAGAACTAGGGCGGTCTTTTCGATCGTTTCCGTGTGCTCGCGGGATTGTGCTTGCACGGTATCAACAGCGGTGGAGAGGTGAATTGTTGCAGTAGCGAGCTTTTCCGCCGTCTCGACTCTGAGGAGTTTCAGACCTTTGATCAAGGCGGTTTCGTGGCGATGCAAGGATTCTTGGGTATGAATCAATGCTGTCTTGAAGCGGTTTTCTAGGTCCTCTCTAAGCTCGAGAATGTCCTGACTGTAGGTATTGCCAGACTGTTCCAGCGATTTGATCTTCTGCGTGGACTCTAACACGAGTCGATCTGTCCTTTTGAACTTTGAGGTAGTGATAGTCTTGTGGGCACCAAGCTGGTTGGAGAGATCATTCAACTGTTGACCAACCTGGGTGATTGACTGTTGCGAAGCCTGGATTGTGGTCTCTAGTCGCTGGTTTCGATCCTTCTCAGCATTCAGTTCGTTTCGCAACTGTTGACCAACCTGGGTGATTGACTGTTGCGCAGCCTGGATCGTGGTCTCTAGTCGCTGGTTTCGATCCTTCTTAGCATCCAGTTCGTTTCGCAGCTGCTGATTCTGCACCTTCTGAGCATCGATATCGGTTTGCAGTCCTTGGTTATCCGCTTCGGACTTTACCTTAACGTCTTCGACAAGCTGTTTGAGATGCGTGATCTGCGTTTCGATGTCGTCCACCCGGCCGTTCAAGAACTTGAGTTTGCCATAGACGTAGTCGAAACTCTTTCTCACGACCCCAGTGACATTGTCAGTGTTGATCCATGGATAGACGGTGCGAGCAGGTTTGCCTGGAGTCTGCTCCTTGGTGTCGACTTTCATCATCGCAAGGTTCAGGGTTCGCGAGAGTTGCTTCCTGTAAAGATTGACGCTTCTTTGTAAGAAGAATTTGGACTTTTGCTTGCTGAATGCCGGGATGTCTGGAATAACTGGTTGGGAAAATGCGAATTTTTTCCTGGTCAAGCCGAGGTCGCAGTAAGAAGCCGCATCTTACGGAAGAAGACGTAATGCATAGGGCCATGGTCGACCCTCCCCACGGTAGCGATTCTCCGCTCTCCCGTACATGTATCAAACGTACCATGGAATGAATCCCTGCTTCCAAGCGAAAGCGTCCAATCATACGATGCGATGTCTATCGTTGCCACCAAGGTTGGAACGCTGGAAACGACAGCTCGACTTCTACTGTTTACCGCCACAAGCGAGCTGCACAAAGGCGTTCGACATCTCCAAAATAGGCACCGATAGCGAGAGCACTATAGCCGCAGCGACAAGACCATTAGGTATATGGTTGGAGAGCGAGCAAACTGTGACGTATCGGGCTGGAACTTTGCAGCCTGGTGGCGTTGTCTTGGGCTGTTTGCTTCATGACGGCGGAAGTATACTCGCCGAAACAGCAGAAGGGCCTCAGGAACAAACGTGAGGCCGGGGACGTCGTTCTTGTTTCCGTCCACCCAATCGCGAAATGCAGATGGAAGGTATGGACGCTGTTTTCCTCCAGGTGGGGTCGTGGGTAGAGACACCACTAGGCTGTACAGCTGCAGGCGCGTATGGTTCCGAAAAGATAGAATACTTGCTTTGACAGCCTGTCAACGTGGCCCCGTTGTAGCTAGGGCGTTCTTGGTGTTGCACGAAAGAGAAGATGGACGCGATAAAGATGGAGGCGAGGCGAGCACGAGGCGGTCCGATGCGGCGCTACTGGCACGCTAAGAAGAGCTGGCTTCGGCAGTCAGTTCGCGTGCATCTCCCCCGCCATTATCATGCCACCCACATGCTTTCAATTCAGCCCGCTATATGTACGCTTGACTGTATGGCCTTGCTGCAGTAATACCAAGGTCCTCGCTTTCCCATGTTTGTCAGCCCTGAGCCGTGCCGCCGTGGCGTTTCTGCGCCATGTCGCCTGGCTTGCCACTGCCTCGTCGGCTCAGGACGCCTGCCAATACCGTGCGCGAAAGCCTTTGGGCCATTACATGAATACGATGTGTCTCATCCATACACGTGCCGTTGATCTTCTCCAGGATCGTTAAATGAATTCCCGTTATCGTTATGCCGCGATTTGAGCTTCCCGCTGCTGCCTGCGTATTGTCAGAGCGCCTTCTCGTTCAGGAAACAGCCTTGTAAGAGAGGAAGCTCGCATCTGCGGGATTGTACCCGGCTAAAAGTAAGTGTGTTATACATACTGATATGTTGATGGGTTGGATCCAATGCACGAATAGTCCAGTACATGCAGACCCGGATGTTCGGCAGGTCCATCATCGCAAATCAGTTAGTCTTCAAATCATTACCCTGGTTGAACTATATCTCTGAAAACATATGTTTCACATCATCCCATCCAAGCAAGAAAAAGAATACCATGGAGTCTACGTTCACGTTGCGTCGCATATTCTGCATCTTCACATGTTCATGTGGGCTGCAGGATGTTCAGTCTTTCCTGGAACAAGGTAACACGACGGACTTCTGCATCGAAGGATGCTACGCTTAGACGGCTACAGACTGAAAAGTCACTGTCTTGGAGCTTTGTCCCAACAGCTTTCAATGTGGTACGGCATGACTCAACCTATCTATAGAATTTGCTCACAGACAGCCCTGCGAACCGGGAGTGAAGACCTCGCGGGGTCTACGAACGCTCAGGCGGTATTTTGCAAGACACTTTGGACCGATGTTGAACTCACCCGTTCAGGTTTGGGAGACGTACCAGACTCAGCGACGTCATGGCTCTCAGTCATGCAGCTGAGTACAGGCTTGCGAACAACTCGCCTTCACTGCTTGAACGGGCGACAGTCATGACTAGGACAAGACAATACTTAGGTGTTTCATTCTCACGTGCAAATGTCAACACTGGTATGCGGCCCGCTTCCTGAAAGCGGTATACGTGCTGGGCGCTGATGCCTGCCACCTGGCTTCTAGAAGGTGCAGCGTAGGCTTATTTCGCGAACTGCCGTAGCTTTAATTGCTATGCGTTACTAACAGAAACCACAGACCTAGACAGGAGCCTGGGCAGAAGATTGAGCATTCGTCGTCGGATCAATGTAATGGCTGTTGCTTTTTTGCAAGTTGTATCCCGTCAGCGTCCGTGGCTCTCTTCGCGGTTGATGAATCTCTTGTCTTCTCCAACAGGTACTGCCTGCAAGTGATACTTGCTCCACAGACTGAGTGTATTGGGGTTCATGCCACTGAGGATTCATAGTGCTCATGGATCCACCGACGCTTGCCCATGACCGGCCGTAGTCTCCGACATTGGCCGCTCGTACGAGTCGATTGCACGGTTGCTGTGCAGACAGGCAATCTCAGGTCAACCGAGAACTTGGTCTATGGATCTACAGGCGATACCATGCTAAGAACTTGGTAGTCCCCAGAAATTCTCCATGGGGGTGGGACCTTGAGCTCAAAGCTCGCGCAACTGAAGGCATAGCCATCATGAACAACGATCGTAGTCGGTAGCGGGCTTGCTACCCTCCTTCGGGTATGTCTCGATGATCATCATTACCAAGTGAGATTGGAGATAGCACTCCTTCATACTTCCGCATCATTCCCATTCGCTTCAGGTGCATCGCGTACACGAGGTCTACCGACGTTGTCATTCCACTTTCCAGCCTCACTAATGTGCTTCAGGGAGTACTTCCGCAAAACTTGCATCGCGCAACTCTTCTATCCACTGTTGTACGGCAAGATCGCCTAAACAGGCTACAGCTGTTTCCTAGCTTTCGAATTTCGCATCAATAGCAGGTCTCCATATCATGACGTTTCAGGCTAGAGAATGCTGCGCGGCTCTGCTCGGACCCCGGCTTCGTCCTACCCCAGAGACCCGCCAATCAAGACCCATCAACATGACAAGTACCCTTGAAAGCTTGTCGCGGGGCCCCGTGGGCTCAAGTGGGTTGATGATAGCAGAGTGTACCCACGCCGAGGTCGAATCTAGAGTGCACAGAGTATATAAGCTCTCCAAGCTTACCATGTCTGCTTGGCTTTTGGCATCGGCTTTTGCTTATTCGCTCTTCGCTCTTCGTGGCGTCCAATCAGCTCACACGCTAACTCAAAATGGCGGGCTTTGCCGAACCCAAGCGAGATGGTACCCCTGCGGTCGACGATGGAGTCCTGGAGAAGAGCCTCAGTCGTCAGGCCGAGATCTTTGAGGACAAGGAGCTCATGACAGATGCTCAGGTAGCTGAAAGCCGCGAACATGATATGGGAATGTGGGAGGCCATGAGGGACCACCCCATGGCTTGCTTTTGGGCTTTCATCTTCTGCTTTACTATCGTAAGTCTTTGACCCCTGCTAGCATATTCAAGAACATGTCGCTGACACCCAACAGGTCATGGAGTCTTTCGACATGTTCTTGAACGGCAACTTTGTTGCTCTTGCCGCATTTAAAGAACGGTATGGCGTGCAAGTCACCGGCGAAGTCGGCAAGACCATTCCCACCAAATGGCAGAGTTCACTCTTCCAAGCCGGCCAATGCGGTGCCTTCATCGGAGTCTTTCTCGCTGGCCCAATCACCAACCGTCTTGGTTACCGCTGGACTACTTTACTGGCACTCATGTTGATGAATGCGACCATCTTCATCTCTTTCTTCGTAAGTATTCCATCCCTGATCCGGATGCGTGGACTAACAACACTTAGGCAGATTCGCTCGCGGTTCTCGTCATTGGGCAAGCTTTCGAAGGTATCCCGTGGGGCATGTTCATCGCCAACTCGCCGGCGTACGCCAGTGAGGTCGTTCCTCTGGTTCTTCGTGGTGCCTGTACGGCTACTCTTCAGATGTCGTGGTCTATCGGAAGCATCATTGTCGCTGCTGCGACTTACAGCTACAACAAACGAAACGACGAGTGGGCGTGGAGAGGTCCTCTGGCCCTACAGTGGGTGTTTCCTGTAAGTGCCTTCTTCGTCCGTTTCCTCACGATAGCTGACATCCCTAGACCCCTCTTATGGTTCTCATCTTCTTCGCACCTGAGTCGCCATGGTGGCTAGTTCGCAGAGGGCGCAAGGAACAGGCGCTGAAGTCCATCAAGCGCCTTGGTCGTAGAAACGGAACCCAGGCGGCTGCCGAAGACACGCTTACCATGATGGAGCGCACAGTGCAGATCGAAGCTCACAAGGGCGGCGAGCCTTCTCTCCTTGATCTCGTTAAAGGAGTCGACCTCCGCCGAACACTCATAACCTGCTTGATCTACGCATCTCAGAACTTCGCTGGCAACCTAATTGCCAATCAAGCAACATTCTTCTTCGAGCGTAAGTCAAGAATCGCCACAGCTCTTAGAGATGCAACGCTGACTATTCGCAGAGGCTGGAATGTCCTCTGACTTCTCTTTCAAGCTGAACTTGATCAACTCGTGCCTTCAGCTGGTAGCCAACATCTGCGCGTGGCCCCTAAGCAACTTCTTTGGTCGCCGTACAATCTACCTCGGGGGCACTGCCATCAATATCTGCCTCCTCTTCGTCCTTGGAATCTGCGCTTCCATCCCTCAGAGCAGCGCGACCAACTACGCCCAAGCTTGTTTGGGAATCGTCATCTCGTTCGTCTTCGCAGGAGCCATGGGTCCGATCTCATACTCCATCATCGCCGAAACATCATCCGTCCGTCTCCGCGCGCTAAGCACTGGTGTTGGCCGAGCCGCATACTACGTCGCCGAGATTCCCATGATCTACCTAGCCTCGCAGATGCTCAATCCCACGGGCTGGAACATGGCTGGAAAGTGTGGATACGTGTGGGGCGGTACAGCTTGCGTCTGCTTCATCAGCGCATACTTCGGCCTCCCTGAGCTCAAGGGCCGCTCATACCGTGAGCTTGACATTCTGTTCAACCGGAAGATCTCCGCGCGCAAGTTCAA